GGCCGGGCGGCCGTTCCTGGGCGGGGAGCGGGTGCGCGGGGCCGCGGCGCTGCTGGTGGGGCGAGCGGGCTCCGGGCGGTGTCACCGCCGTGCCGCCCCCGGCCCTGGCGCTGGCGTTTGCCAGCTTCCTTCTCTGTCATCATCTGCCGCTGCCTCGGCGGCTGATGCAAGGTGCTCTGTTTCATAAACAGCGTCCTGGCGCTTTAACTGCGCTGGCGCCGGGCCGCGCGCTGCTTCAGGTGCGCTCCAGGAGCACCTGCGCGGCACAGGACTGACCGGGAATGGCCCGCCTTGCGCGGGTCTGGCTCCTGGAAAACACGTTTGTCTTTCCTTCAGAGCAAGGAAATAGTCTATATTCAGTATGGGTTGCTAAATGTATTCTTGGAGAAGAATGTTACTTAGGGGAAGAAATTAGCACTTAGTAGAAATAACAAACTTCCATGAGAACCCTGATGTGTAATAGCACTGAACCTGCTTTTATTTCTGTTGTGCAACAAAGAATCGATTGTAGAAGAGAGCTGAGAGTTTTTACTTGGCATGACAACACAGCAAACTCTGTAGAAGACATTCATATTCCTCTTGGTGCCCATTACTCATCTTTGTCAATGCTTATTGAAGGTTACTTTTTTAGTCTAGGAAATAATTTTTTTAGAAGGTTGAGCTTAAGGGTTTATTTAGATTGGAGTGGTTCTTCTGCTTAAGACTGGTATTTATTTTGTTTCACAATGGATACATAGGATGTGGTATCTCAGATTTATTTTTATATACATGTCTGGGATAACTTGATATTATCTTATCAATAATACATATGGTTGTAAGCTTTCCCACCTTATGCTTCTGGTTTACATTTCACTAAGGAGAGGAAAATGGTTAATGCTACAGAGTTCCTGCACCTCCTTCCCCAAATACATACAGATTGAACTCTGAGCATAATGGATATTTAATTTGTCCAGACAGAAATTAAGAAGGTGATGTCAGAAGTGGCAGTGAAGACCTGTGGTGAGCATACAGAACCAGTGCACCACGGGATTGGTTTTGGTTGGGTTTTTTCCCCAGTCTTCCCTTCTGGCTTGGCCTGGCATACAGGAGATGTGTGACACCCTAGTGCATCCTCCAGTCACCCCTGCTGTTATTGGACTAGAAGCCATTAGTGTCGTCTTGATTCATTAGGAAGTTTGAAGGCTTTATCTCTTTTTAATTCCTGCTCAAAGCTGTTCTTATTTTAAAGTTGCATTCAGGAAGACAGTGGCCACATTTCCAGCCCCCTGTAGGCTGGTTGGAGAAGCATATTGGTTGTTAGTGAGTCTTTGTCATTTGCTGGAGAATCAAACTGCAGAAGATTTTGTGAGTGGGTCAGTTTAGCCATTGGGTTCAAGTTAGTCTTTTTTTTTTTAGTGTACTTAGGGGATTGAATTTGACCTCGGATTGAGTTATGATTATGTGCACTTTATTAATCTGTTACAGAAATAAACTGTTTAGCTGATGGTTGAAATTTAGGACCACTGTACCTAGGTAATTTTTTTTTTATTAAAGCTTGTAGGTCTTTTTGATCTATTAGATGTAACTGGGTAATAAAGTGCTTTGATTTTGGTAACTGTTTTACAGGTGTATGTTTACTGAATGTACCTGTAGGAATACATTTACCCTAGAGATGCCCTTCAGTCTGATGCCAAGCTATCTATCTATTGTAATTTTGCTAAATTTAGCAGTTCTAACTATATAGTGTTCTTTTGATTATTATTTTTCTTAATATTAAAATATTTAATATTTTAAAATATTAATTAATATACTAATATAACTGATTATTATTTTTAAAAAACTCCATTATTTTTCTTAATATTAAAATATTTAATATTTTTAAATATTAATTAATATACTAATATAAAAATATTTTCTATTTTGGTGGTTTGACACCTGTATGCAGGTAAAAATGCACTATTAGTGTACTATTGCACTAATATAGCATATATTAGTTATATAGATATTATAGTATATAATATATATTACATATAGTATATATTGGTTATATATGTATTATACTATATATTAGTATATACACTATTGGTGTAGTATTCTGGTTGAATAACTTCTAACTCAAGACCATTTATCAAAACAAACAAGCAATAGGAAATGATGATTGTCTGCTCGTTTCTGTTTGTTTATTTAATCTATTTTGATGATGTCAGTACCCAGGGAGGTCCTGAATCTTTTGTTTGGGGTGGGAAGACAGGTGGAGCCCAAAGCCATGGTTGTATGTTCAGAACAGAAGATGCCTTTGGGTTTCTGCAGTTACCTGTCAGTGTGTTTTTGGCAGGAGAGGGAGAGCAGGATGTTGTTTCTGTCGTGCTCACCAGGCCCAGGGTGAAATGCTGAGTTAGCTGGAGGAACAGAGATGTTGCAATGTCCAGCACAGAATCTGCTGTGACAATTTGGGATTTCAGAATCTGTCGATGCACTGGTGTCAAACTGTGCTGGTACCCTGAAGTTGTCTTAAGAATTCACTTCAGATTTTGCAGGGCAGCCAGGGATATTTCTGCCAGGTGATGAATTCTGATGCTGGGAGTTCCCTTCCTGTGAGAAGAATGCTGCTGCTGCTGCCTGGTCAAATTTAGAGTAATTAATGACAGCAAGCAGATGTCGTTGTCACATGTTAGCTCTAGAACTTAGGCTTTGCCATTTGGGTTTCTGTTATTTTGATGATTGAAGAAGTATGATTTAAAAATAAATCACAATTGAAAAAAAAAAAATTGATCCTTGTGTACAGTGTGATTTAAAAAAACCTAAACAACTCAAACCAAAATAGATTTCTTCCCACCCCCTCCCAGCCTGACATTGCCTGGTTGAGATTCCAGGAAAAGCACTAATGAAGGAAGAAAAATTTCTACAGGAAAATGACAACCATATTCAAAGTAGGGCTTTATAAAAACCCATAAATTCAGTTTCTCTCTAAGTTTCATACCGAAGTTGATTGTTAGTGAATATTTGTGCTTAAACTGTTGTTGTGATTGCCACCATTGCTTTTTTTTTATTTACAAAGGAACTCTAAATATGTTAGTAGAAGTTGATGAGAAAATAGTTTTATCTTAGAAAAAATACAGTAACTACCATAATGCAGAGATATGAGACACATCTTTACTGTGTTTTGTGAAACCTAAATGGAATTGGAGGTTTTATATTTTGTTATGCCAATTTCTAGCCACACTGGTATACTTAGATGTTCTCATTCAAAGTTTTGTGTATAATTTCTGTGTTGAGAAACCAGGAGTGAAGACAGGATTGATAATAAAGTAGAGAGCAAATAAATTTAAACACATAGATGCTTTCTTTCCTCTGTGTTCTTGCTGGAATTAACTCAGAGTGGGAAATAAAGCAGGTGTCTCAAATTCTGTGATAAAAGCTTTATTGAGCATGATTTCATTGGCTGTTTTATTATGTTGACGCATAATATAACAGGCAATTGATTGGAAATTGTTCCATTTTGGGAATATTTTTCCCACCAAGATAAATCCATATAGTAAATTTTATATAAAAACTCAATATTTTTTTTTCAAGGAACAAGGAATGTTTTAAACTTTTTTATAAAGTCTTTTTGCTAGTTAAGGACTTGAAAAATTGACCTGAATATGGTGTTAATGAATGCTCTGTATTCCTGGTAAATTCCTGTTAAAAACGAGAAAAGATACACAGGCAGCTGCAGCTGGACAGTTCTCTTCTGAAAGTGGTTACCAGTCATCTGGTAATATTATTTAAAAAAGAAAACTTATGCTTTGGGTTATTTTTGTTCTGTTTTTGTAGTTGCCAGGTACTCTCAATTTTCCTCAGAATCAGTGTATTGGAGAGTAC